AAAATAAATAAATAGTAAAAAGAATATAATGATTTTTCTTAAAAATAATAAAAATAAAGTATATATATTTATAAATAAGATATTTATTTATTTTTAAAGTACAAGAATAAGACGTCTAGTTATTTTAAGACCGCATTCTTCTTAGTAATTAAAAATAAATAAATATTATTATTTAATTAATTGGTGAAATTAATTAAATAATACTTATTAATATACATATATTAATATGACTAAAATTAAATAAATAAAAAATACAATAATTTGAATAGAACTAAAATAATTATATATGTATACTAAGATATTTATTTATTTTAAAAATATTGAAATAGGACTTCTAGTTAAGTTAAGATGACCCTTTTCATAATATTTAAAATAAATAAATATTTTTATTTAATTAAATATATATATATATGTTCATAAAAAATAAAAATAAAACAATAATTAAATATTATATTTAATATATTAAAGTAAATATTTTAAAACTTGGTTTAATATTATATATAATATATTATCGGTGTATACATAGACATACCACATCACAAATTTCTCCTTATCACATGAGGTAAAGGTGCATGCATATCGGTAAACTATTTTACTAAATATAATATATTACAACCACCTAACTTTGAATTTGTAATGTGCAGAGGACCTAATTCTTATTGTTTAATAATTCAATTTGTATCATATAGATATATTAAAGGAATGGGACCTACTTTTTTTATAATCAAGCTGACTTTCCTAAATTGGATTCAAATATCATTTTGATTGTATGGTTTAGAAATTTTGGAAAATAATTTTCAGTTATTCGGGATCAAAATAAAATAAAATTATTAGAGATTAAATAGGGTATTTATCCTAAATATATAAGTATACGGACAAGGATTAAAATAAAATAAAATAAAATTTGAATATTGAATTAAAATATATGAAAATTTATTGCAGTGACTATATTATAATAAAACAAAATTAAAAAACAGAATTAAAACGTATAGAAATTAATTTCAGTGATCAAATTGAAAAGATACAAACTTGGAGGGACTGCGGAAAGAGTTTTCCTATTTGTGAAATTACACAGGCACCCCTCACTAAAATAGCGTCGTTTTAGTGAGGGTATTTATACACCTTTAAACTGGCCCCCAAGGGCCATTTAACTTCATTTCTTCTCTTTGGTTCTCTCTTAAAGAGAGAACCCTCTCCCTTCTCTCTAGCTTCCCTCACCTGAGGGAGTTCCGGTCACCGACCGGCAACCGCCTGTCGTTGTCGACCGCCACCGTCGGCCACCGTGAATGGTGACCGAAATTACAAATTTACCCCAAATTTTTTCTTTTTCAACCCTAGTACCAAATATGGACTTTTTTGTCCTAAAAACTCTTAGATCACCCTAGATCTAAAAAAAATTAAAGCTTTTACCTTGGTTGGAACAATGTCTCCGGCGACGTTTCGAAGGCCTCCGATGATGGTAAGTATTCCTTTCTTCTCTTTTCGGTTGGTTTTCGTTGTTGTGTATGTGTGATTACTATTGTGGTTGTTCGTTTTTGGTGTGGTTCCTCCTCCTTTTTCCCGTTCGTCGTTGCTGTGGTGTTGGTTGTTGTTGGTTTCTTCGTTGCTCTCTCTGTTTTTTATTTTGCAGGGGATGGCCATTTATAGGCCTCGTCGGAGCTCCCTTCGGTCTGGTCCCAAGAGGGCTTTTCGGTGAGTCATCGAACTATGTGGTGACTCACCTTGTAGACGCGACGTGGGGGGCAGCTGGCTCTTCTGGAGGTTTCGTCAGAGGTGTCAGCGTGGCAGCAAGCGTCGGCAGCGGGATGTTGGATCACCTGGCAGTGGAATCGACGGCCGCATGGTGCATCAGAGGCGGCTGGAAGCTTGAAGGCGGCGGCTAGGAGCTAGGGTTTAGAAACCCTAGCAATAACCCTAAACGAGTTTTGAGTCATATTGGGTCATTTCTGATAGGCCTGATTTGTAAACATTGGGCCACCATATTTGTAAAACTGGCCTGTAACAATAATTTAATAATAATAATAATAATAATAATAATGAAAAAATTAATGTCTACAGAGCCCATGTACTTGGGTGCATTGGGACAAGGAGCAATCCAACGAGCCATAACTTGAAGAAGCATTGGGTGAGAAAGTGGTGGTCGAGCAACCGATGCAGCCGGAGCATGGGACCCATACAACATCATTATTAGTGTCGAGCACCATGAACATGGTCTGACCCGGGGTGCCAAGCATGACCTTAACAACGTAGTTGCCATTGCCAGTCTTAGGACCCGAAGCAATCGGAACCTTAGTGCTCTTTTGGGCCACAAGGTTGGACAAGTACATGACCCTTGCCGGGTCTTTCGAGGCCATGTTAAGGATTGTGTTGACTTATGACTTGGGTTTCGGTGGGTTAAACGGTTAGCATCTGCCGTAGATTGGAATCACCGACAGGTTCGAATTATCTGGCCGAGAACCACAAGGATCTAAAGCCTTGGTGGACGAAATGAGAAGATGCAAGAACAAGAGTGTAGCAGTGAAGTCCATGCGCTAGTGCTACGACTTCAACTTGGAGTTAAAGGGAGAGATATTTAGTGAGCGGTATGCATTAGAAATGAGTTACTCTAAGATGATTTATAAAAGCAATTTACTGTATTAGATTTACTGAAATAGCCTTGCAAGCACTAAATTTTAGAAACAATTTGGGATATGATAAAATAGTAAAAATACCCTAGTAGGGATGAGAGTGGGCCAATAAGAAGACAGAATTGGCCGCAATACGCAATGATGTTAGATCAATATTAATAAAAGACCCGAAATTGCATGGGACAGTCAAACAAAATGACAAGTTTTGGATGCCGACGAAATAGCAAGAACTAAATTTTAGAAACAATTTGGGATATGATAAAATAGTAAGCCTACCTCCGGTTGACGGATTATGAAATTCCGGTGCTGGGGTTGAAAATTTAGGGGAGACTTTGTGGGTGCATTATTTTATTAGTGAGTGAGTTAAGCTCATGAGTCTCTGTTTCAACAATGCTTATTTGTCCCTACATAAGCTTGCATGAGATGGGTCAGTCAAGAGTCTCGAGTCACGCCTCACAGGCGTACAACAAAGACCTTTTTTTGGACTAAACCAGGACCCACCTTTGTGATTGTATATTTTTTGCAAGGACGAATGAACTCTCCACCCGCATATTCCATGGGAGCTGAATGTACCTAAATCTACACCATCTTATCCTATACTTATATTCCATTTTTTTGTTAGGGTAAACTATGTATTTAGTCATCCAACTATTTATATTGTTCTGTTTTAGTCACCGAAATATTTTTTTTCCAAAATTATAGTTACCTAATATCCCCAACCGTCCTATCTACTTTATAATGGCTGCATGAATTACCTGATATTCAGTCCCTTTTCATTGATGTCACGTAGATAATCTGCACTCAACAACGAAGCAAAGACCCTTCTTTTTATTCTCACTTAATTGTGTGAAGGGGTTGTTTGATATATGATGCAACATTCCACCTTACAAAGTTGTGATTTTCACTTCCTAAACAGTCTTGCAGTTTTAACTCGTTGAATAGGAATTGTCAAAAAGGATATGACCCGAAATATAAAATTTCATTGATAAAAAAATATAAAATAGTATATTAATATTAAAATATAAACATATAATTAAACATGTATAATAATAATTTAAAAAAATTATATCTCCAACCATCGTTATACAATATACATTACATAATACTTACAATATTCAGTTTTTCGATCATATGCGAATAAAAGGAAATTTAAGGATGGTCCGTTCTTGTTTTCGGACCATGATAGAAAAGCCTAAGCTTTTTATCGGAGCAAATATCAGGCGCAAAGCATCCGATCCAATAGTACAGAATTTTAAATATTTGGGCCTATTGGTATTTTTATAAGATCCAGCTGCTACCATTAAAGATTAATCAAGCCATTCAATTCTCCCACTTTTTTCTTAAATAACACCACAACAACCTAAAGTATGAAACCCAATTAAACGTTATGGGAGTGGTTTCGCGAAAAAATGAGAATAATTTTTTTATAATTGTGTTTCCACATGTGCTTCACAGAAAAATTATTATTTTATAATAACTTTTTAATGATAGTAGCATTTTTTGATTAAACGGTGGGATGTCATTATCTCCAAATTCTTAGGTATTATATAATCCTCACCACTTTAGAATACTCCTAGAATAATGAATTATTTTCATATAAATCTTTCTCAATTCTTATTCTTCATGTTTTACTCAAAATTATAAATATAATAATAATATACAAAGAGTTTAATTTAGTCATATATTAATAAATTTGAGTAGTTATAATTACTTTTTATTTTTAATAAGTAGTATATTAATTATTTATAATTTTATGAGGTAAAAAAAGATATCATTTTTAATATGTAGTTAAAAATGACATTATTGTAAAAAATAAATCTTATACATTAAAAATAATATTTTTGTTCACTCGATATCACAATATTATTTTTTCATATTATATTATGTTGTATATAAGTAAATATGATACTTATAAAAATTATTTAAAAATATAAATTTGATGTGTTAACTATATGTTAAATGTATTTTTTTTCCTCCAAAGTTAAATAGTGTAACTATTAAAATATTTCCATGAATTTAACAACTTTGTACTAACAATAAACAGCCAAGAAAACCCTAACGCAAAGCAAAACTGCGATAACCCTGGAGGTAGACCACCAGAATAAATAATTCAATTAAATATACCGCCAACACTAGAAAGTTCTGGTTCCCCAGTAGCGCCAGACAATCAGAGATTCCAAAGAAGATCAAGAACTCAGAAAACAGGTACGATAATGGTACTCCTGAAATCGAGGAGATGGAAGCAGACTTTGAGGACAAGATCCAAAGCATGAGCACGTACGACGTGGAGGAATCTGATGATAAAGAAGACACACCGATTAATGACACCGAAGACAATGAAGAAGGAAACACGAAAAAAAAACATACACTAGTATGGTTGCTGCATCCAACGGTGCAAGGAGAGTCTTAAACGCAGGTTGTGGGATCAACGATGATGAAGTTATCGTTTCAGATGAAGACTGCATCATTGATCGCTCCGGGGAATTCCCATCTATTAATTTCTCAAATAGGGTGCATGATTGTATTGATAGGAATATGAGAAACGTAATAATTGTCAGACTACTAGGTTGCACGATTGGTTACAAGGCCTTACTAAATCATATCAACGCCCTATGGAAACCAGTGGGAGAGATACAACTAATAAATTTGGATAATTATTATTACTTGGTCAAGTTTGCAGATGCCGGGAACTATGCCAAGGTCCTAACGGAATGTCCATGGACAATTTATGGCAGCTACCTCACCGTTCAACCTTGGAGTAGGTCATTCACAACTTTTGAGAAACATCCGTCAGAAGTTATAGTTTGGATACGACTACCGGGTTTGCTATATAGATACTATACGAAAGCCTTGTTTCGTCTTCATGCCACAGTTGTCGGAAGAGTCATAAAAATAGACTATAACTAAGACGGGTGAACGTGGAAAATTTTCAAGGCTGGCTGTACTGGTAGATCTAAATCAGCCCCTTATACCGTGTATCGTAATTTGAAATACGAAGGCTTACAACAAATCTGTTTTCATTGCGGTGTGTATGGTCATTCGAAAGAACAATGTGCAGCTAACAATCCCCCGGCGGACATAGTCACTGACAAGGAGATTGAGGATAGCGAAGCCAATAGTCATTCTACAGAGAATAATTCCAGCAAGTTCGACCCATGGATGATTGTGGATAATAGGAAGAAAAGGTATGGAAACAATAATAAAACAAGTGATGCCAACGAGGACACAACAAAGGTAGTACAAAGATCAAGGTTTTCTATCTTATAAAACTTAGGGAATGAGAACAAGGATGAGAAGGAGACTAGGACATGAAGGGTGAAGAGATTACAACACCTGCTAGGACGATAGGTAAAGTACCTTATAGATCAAACCAGGGACCACAAGGAAGACAACCGAGGGAGAGACCTAACAATGGCTTACACAAGGAGCATAGCACAAGCGCAAAACCAGGAACGTCTAATGGAGAATGGACGCAAATGAAGGTAGTACCGATGATAGCAGGACAAAGTGCTGAAGTTACCAACCACACGGGTAAAGGGAAAGATAAAGAACATGTTGCAATTACGATCATGGAAGCAAGCATGAATGCAAAAGAAGGAAATGGGAGTCCCAAACAAACAAATAAAGAAGAGATCAAACAAAGGTCTGAAAATCAAGAAACAATCACCATATCGGACACCCAACAAAACCATGTTACAAGAATGGTCGCAAGGTGTCACAGAATGGTTGGAGAAAACGGAAGCAGCCAATGGTCTGTCAAAAGAGAGCACTTTGACAGTCTCAAAACAGGTGATGACAGATAAATTAAATCAATAACCAAAACATGTGACGCAAGTAAAAAAACTGATCACTTAACCACTAAGCTAGACCGTTAAATTTGTCTAATATACAAAACATAGTATATATCATTTATAATATAGTAAATGATAATAAATGATCTTATAAGGACTAAAATATGAAATAATTGAATAGTATGAAAATATAAAATATATATATGCAAATATTATAATTGATTAATAAATGAATATATTTTATTTATATTTTAAATCATTTTTAATGCAAAAATTAAAATAAAAGTGAATTTAAATGTTATAATTAAAATGTATGATTTTACATATTTTAAATTAATAAATTGTCTTCATTACATATTTTATTGAACTGAAATGTATCATATCTTATATTTTAAAATATTATAACGTCGATCAGATTCTAATTCTATTTAACAACTCGATATTAAAATAGACTAATTCAATAAAATCAAGTTTCTCCTGGTATTTTCTTCAAATATATAATGAATAAATAATAAAATATAAAATTCTTACTCTAACCGGAATATAAACAAGTCAATGCATAAGTTAAAATGCTTACTACGATAAGCCCTCAACTATCAGGAAAATTCTAAGTCAACAAAGCTTTTCGTTTTGTTTCAATTGTAATATATTTAAAATTATTTTTATTTTTTAAAATGATTTAAAATATTAATAAAATACATTCACATATTAATCGGTTATAATATTTGTGTGTGTATATATATATATATATATATATATATATATATATATATATATCATATTATTGTATTATTCAATTTTTCCATGTTGGAGTTCCAATTAGGTCATTTTTCCTTTTTTATTTCCATTAACTATATATATATATATATATATATATATTACATCGTGATAAATTTGTCATTTGAATGGTGTAACCCAGTGGTTGGGGCATTTGCTTCCACTCTTTACGTCTTGGGTTCAAACCCCATTAGCCGCGTGTATTGATTCAATTTATTTTCTATTCATTCAATTAGTGACAAGTCACCATTTGATTGGGGATTAAATTTATTTATTTAATTAAAAGTTAGGACTAAATTAATAGAATGTGTCAGTAATTAGGACTAAATGTGTAATTATATAAATTTTATTAACCACCACATCATCTCCTCCGTTAATATTTAACGGGAGGTGGCTTTATTGACAAGATTTAAATAATTAGATGACTCGATTGACAAAATTAAATTATTAGTGGTTAACAGAAAAGAGGTAAATAGTTTGGTGGTCAATAGATAATTTACCATAAAAAACTAAGGTTTTCTAAATAATGTATTTTAATTAAATTACATTTAGATTTTTAATTAATTTATAATTATCAATTAAATACTTTAAAATTTAATGTTTTATAAATTAATTTAATGATACTCATCGTGCTCATCCACGCTCGATGAACGTTTTAGAATTTTTCTTGTATAAAATATTTTATTTTGTAAGAATAAAACTTTCAATCATATAATTAAGGGATAAATATAAATAATGATTACATTACGTAAATTTGAATTAACATTGATCTAATGTTGTCGGCTTCTTGGTTTATAAAAAGGGTAATAAAGTGTACTCGAAGTTGGAAAAGAAAGTGTGCGTGTTTTGTCGTATTACAACTTCACTTTGGAAAAGGATACCACGCTTGTAATAACTTCCCCTAGAAATTCATGGAGTAATATCCAAACACTAAGAAGACGCAATGAGTTTGACGATTATTAAAAAGTCTAAACATTTTGGCTTCTTTTGTCAACTCGTGAAAGAAAAATGAAAACTTGTGTCCAGAGTTATTAAAACATGTCATTTGAAAGCGGCCATATCATCTTAAATTAAACAAAAACCTTGATTTTGATTTGGAATATTATTCTGTGGAAATATTGAAACTTGACTTTCCCAAGTTTTTATGCACAACGTCGTACCAAATGCTCTTTGGCAATTGGCATGTCTTTCATATTACCATTTGATGAAGAAAAAACAAAAAAAAACAAGATGGGGATTCGTGAAGCTGACTCTGGCCGATACTGAAAGCTTGCAATTTTCTGCCATCGAGAAGGCCACTGCTGAGCAAGTTGGAGCTAATTAACATGGGACCAACTTGTTCAAAGATTGAAAAATGGGCAATTTCCCAGAATTCATTGCCTTCTTCCATGTCCATGCCTTGTTTTATTAATTACTGTTCGGTGTTCATACAAAAGAAGCCGTGCATTCAGAGCTAGGCTGCACTCTTCATTTGATTTTACATTGCTTTTTCCCATCAAAAAAGAAAATAAATGTCGAATATTCCGGCCGAAAAGTTCATCTCGAATCCCTTAGGTTTCGGAGATGTCGGGGAAAAGCTGCAGGAGACAACGAATCATGCATTGGGTGGATTTGTCAATATATATATATGTATCTGTCATCCGTTTTTGTCTGTTAAAATGAGTCTTTTCGGCTGAAAGGCAATGGTAAATGCTTGTTTTGCTTTATAAACAAGTAATAATCCTATATATATACCGAGAAAAATAATGATAATTGGGGCCTATACGATTTGAGGAATAAAAGAAAAAGAAACTAGAATTGCGGTGTTGGGACAGTCATTTTAATGTCAAATCTGAACAACCAGCTGAAATGATGAAAGCTCGTGCGTTGAGTAGAGTAAATTTATAAGAAAAATGTGTAGAGAAATAGTTTCATCATTCAACTAAACTAAAAGTTATGGTATTCTGATTCACTGGGAAAACAAGCACAGTCGGGGCAACCAATCAGCAAGTACGTAAGAGCGTTGTTTGTCAAAGAAAGTGGCGCCCCATATGATGAAAGATTAGATTTCCAATCGCAGGCAGGGAATTACATTGGTTGCCTCTTATTTTTCCTTGCCAGCCAACCTGGAATGTAATAAAATCAAATAAAACTTTGGTCAACAAAATCTGAAATTTCCAAAACATTTCATTCCATTTTTCATTCTTATTTATTTCTTTTGATTTCATTATAAAAGGTTGTGCACAAAATAGGAGGCACAGGAGCGCTAATATATATAAATATATATGTTTATTAGGTTTTAATAAATATAGTTAAAAATTATTTATTTATCATTCTAAGTAATTTAATACATATCTTTATTGATTTAGAAATGTTATTAACTGCATCACATATGTTCTTTTTTCTTTTAATATTAATCAGATTCTTATAAAATTTAATTGAGTTGGATCCAGTTTAAATTTATAAAAAATAATTAATGGAGTAAATTAAGTCGATGGACCTATTCAGTTAGTTGCAAAGCAGCCCTATCCCTCGAACTATGTTGGTATAAGTCCTGAGATCTGTGAAAAAAAATTGAATGGTTAAGTCGGCAGTCGATAATCGCTACTTGGGAAACTCCGTGGTGATTTTACCTCATCTTGCTTGGACAAAGATTTGAATCTTATAATAATAACTTCTTTAAAGAAAAAAAAAATCTCAAACTTGACTAAATAAGAAGATAAAGGAATTAGGCCACCATCTAATCCAATCGGCTTTTTTATTCAAATATCACAGCAAATTAACTAATTATTAAAATAATATTCCTAATTGATTGATTTCTGATTTAATATCCATTTATCACGTAAGTAAATATTCACAGGAAGTGCCTTTTACTAATATAGTAGAATGCACATTTTCAAGAAACATATTTTGTTGATCTCATTTAAGTTGAATTGAAATAAAAAAATAATTATATATATATATATATATATATATTGTCTAAAAAAGCAAACATCGCGCGATGACATGTAATTACACGAATACAAAAATGAACACAAGTCAAATTAAACAAAAACGATGTTATGTATTAACCTTGTGCCTAATAATTCAATAAATAAATGTTTAAAATCAAATATTTAAATGTTTGAAAACCTACATATAAAGATAACATAAGCTAATACATGTGTGTTGTTGTCGCCATCCGATTCAACTCAAGCTTGTACTTGTGCAATTACTTTTCTTGACACACTTCACACGTTTATTCCTTTTAGATAAGTCTGGCCTAAATTATTTAATTTGATTTTGAAGTAATTTTTTTGTCAGTTTTTAATGTTTTTTTTTATTTTTATAAAATTAAATATAAAAAATAATTAAAATGATTTTAGTTGAATTGATGCGATTCATTATATATATATATATATATATATATTCCAAAAAAGTACATAATTTTAATTTTCATTTAATAATTTTTTGAATTATAGATTTAATAATTTAAATATGAAGTGTTTATATTATATTATAATGCATGATACAGTTATATATAGTAATAATTATAATAATAAAATATATAGATTTATTTGGGTCTTACGTTTCTGTGTACATACAGAGATTTTTATGCAGGGATTTATTTGCAGGGATTACTTACGATACAGACGCGTATATGAAGATTGTTTAACTATGTATTTATTTATTTATACATGCATTGTATTTTATTTTTATTTTTAATTTTCTGACTGTCGG